TGGGCTTCGGTTGTAGAAATGACCATTTCTTTATTATTGTTGAGATATTTACAATATTCGACGAGCGTTCTTGCTGCAACTGCCGCGCCGCTCACGACTGCCCCGCACGCCACCTTCCCCTGGTCAAGAAACCTAGCGCGCGGCAGAACGGGCTCATGAAGCAGGAATCAGTTTCATGAAACTCAGTTTGTGAAACGGTTTTGACGACATGGCAACATTGCGGCGAGGAATGAAATGTGGCAACCATGTTTAGTCGCTATCCTTCTCTTTTAGCTTGCTTTCTCTCTTCCGTCACATTTTACCGATACCCGTGATCACAGAAACATATGCGTGTGCCACCTGACGGTCGAAAATATTTCTAATTTGGTTTGGCTAATGTCCGTTCGCACAATTGCAGCGCGACGATCAACTCCGGGTGCAAGCTGATCCGATACCGGGCCCATAATGACACCGTGCTTTATTTATCTCTTCCACCGGCGGCGATCTATGTATTCGTGGTGAGATCTATGCAGTCGGTACTGTGTGCCCGATAGATCGGCAGGGAACGAGGATAATATTCAGTTAAAATCTACGAATGTTGAATTTCGATTGCTTTCGTAAGTATCCTCGAAACTAGAATATAATTGTATAGTAATTATATTAAATCATTTCGATTATTCAAGGATAACGTAAATCTATTTGTATCCGGCATAAAATATTTCAGGATCGAATGTTAAGTATTATATATAATTATGTGTAACAATTGTATCACAATATAAACTTACTATGTGTCTTATATTCTTACCATTTGATTTTTACAAAATTAATTTAGGTCACTTGTCCCGCCATCTACGTCAAAATGCTGAAACAACTTGCCGATTGTTATAACCTCTTTGAAACAAGATGTTATCACAGAAATTATGGCGGTTCTATTCAAATTGAAGTTTTCGAGGGGAATAAATTTAACCACCTTCATTATGCGTATTATATTCGTAAATACGCATTGATGACATCTAATGATCAATATTTGCCTCTAATCGTATTGCATTAATCGCAAGAATAACTATGGGATTCTTAGAAAATAGACAAATAGTAAATTTATTATTGTTGCTATGTACTGTACTTTTTTTGTTATGTTAAAACGTTCGATTTATTAAACATGCGATAACTTTAATTATCTAGCAAACTGTTGATTGTTAGACGTTTTTTTCTGACGGAAAGTTTTACTACGATGCAATTTTTTCTCTGAACCCAGATTATTCATGGTTTTAAAGTAACCATAACCATCTCGAATTACCTATATCGAAGTCGTGAATTCTTGCTCACTGACACTTCTGCGACGAAATAATGTTAAGGAAAATGAGACTTGTACTTACAGGATTGTTCATCTTCATTACGTGAGTTTAACGAAGAAGATGTCACGAAAAACAATTACTAAAGCCCGGCACGAGATAGACACACTCTACGACACTAGCCAATCGGCCACATTGAATAAATTACTTGAATTAATTGAATAAATTAACGATACCCATTCGATTATCACGAAAACAAACGAAAATTTGAATTGGAAAACATATGAACCTCAGGAAACAATTCAAAATTGTTTCAGTACTTATTTTCAAAAAGGATACTCAAATCTATGGCTGGTGGAACAAGGAAACCAAAGGATTTCGCAACTTTTGCCAAATCCAACGTTTCAATGTCGAAAATCTGCTTCAAATGGTGCGAGTCGTACGCTCTCACGTATGCTTTAAATGCCTCTTTTGCTGACATGTTTAAAAAGTAATTTTTGGAAATTAACTTTTCAAGCTGAAAGGGAAGCATCAACAATTTATAAACATTTTTTACTCTTGAATACTATAAAACCTAAATTTATAATTTTATTCTGCTCATGAAAGTTTTATAAAACAATTGAACACCAACATATTATTCGATCTCAATTTATACAAATTTTCAAGAAAAATTAGCATCTTACCTGCAGTTGGATATCCGCAATTTTATTCCATGAAAAATCGAATTCATTTACCGGAACCTTTGCTTGTTTAAGATAACGGAGAAAACCGAGTTCTTCTGGCCTCAAAATTAATAAGGCATGTCCACTGCTGCCTTCTCCTCGGGCAGTTCTACCAACCCGATGAATATATTCCTGAAATGGCATTTACAACGACATATCACTGAAAAATCTTACAAATATATTCCTGCATTTTAAACTTTGATGCATTTTTGATAATTAACCTTAGGATCATCGGGTGGATCGTATTGAATGATCCAATCAACGGCAGGAATATCAAGACCACGAGCTGCTACGTCGGTACAAAGAAGTATACCAGAAGTCGCGTTACAAAATTGGAAGAATGTTGTCGTTCTCTTCGTCTGCTTTTGTTTTCCCTAAGAAATCAAAAATTCATAGGAATATCTTACATTTCCATATCTATCAACCATTTTGATACACTTACATGTATACTTAATACTGGTAAATCAATGTAATTCAAAAGCTCATTGTGATACTTGACCGACATACAAGAGCTGAAGAAAACCATCACTTTTTTTTTTCGATTTTTCTTCAAGAAAGTAAATAACAGTAAGAATCTTTTCTCGCTAGGGCAACACACGTATCCCTGTTCCAAACCTTCAACCGTTGCTTTATCCTTATCATCATCAACGCCAACGTAAATCGGTTTTTTTTTCAATGCTAAAGTTGTTAACATTTCAGTTTTTTTTGTTTGCGTAGCGCTGAACAACATTGTTTGTCTCTTTTCTGTAAATATAATAAGTTGATAATCTTTAACAGTATGAAATTCTGCTTATTTTGCTGTGATGGTAACTAACTTGGTAAAATATTTATAATTTGCTTGAGCTCTTCCTCAAACCCAATGTCCAAAATACGGTCAGCTTCGTCAATAACCAAACACTGAAGATTTTTAAACAAGAAGTCTGTTGTATTCTGCAGGTGATCCAATAATCTACCAGGTGTTGCTACAACAATGTTAATTCCTTTTGAAAGTTTCTGAGCTTCAGTTTGCCTATTTGCACCTCCCATTAACAAACCATACGTATGATAGTGATATTTCATTAGCTCTTTTAAAACTCCAAACGTTTGCATGGACAATTCTCGTGTTGGAGATATAATAACACAACCTGTGCCTATAAGTACGAATACAATTCAATAAATCGAAAATAATTTTGCTGTTTCTATCACTTACATACCATTACGAGGCATGAATTTCAATTTATAAATTAGCTCAATTGCTGGTATTAAAAATGCTAAAGTCTTTCCAGATCCTGTTTTAGCAGCACCCACTAAATCCCTGCCTTCTAACAATGGTGGTATTGCTTTCGCTTGAATTTCAGTCATATTTCTGAAACCCATATCATGGATTGCTTTCAAAGTATTATCGCACACCAATGTTTCTAATACTTTGAAACTGGTGTCATTTGTTATATCAGAGCCTATTGCTGATCCAGGTACTAACAAAAAACAAAATGAATTAAGCATATGCCCAATGTCTTTTAATTAAAGACTAGTTGTATTATACTTACAATCCGCAGTTTCCTTATTTTCATTTTTATCATCTGTACCTGGAGGCACATCAGCCTCAGTTTTCTTTCTCTTTTCTAAAATATAACATGAACGTCCACTTGTAATTTGACTGTTAAAAATAGAGGAATACAACATCATCTTGTATAAAGTAATTAAGGATATCTTTCGAGATTTAAATACAAACGATCCTTTGTTTTGACTTACTTTTTTTTGGAGTGTTATTTGCGGAATGTTGTTCGAATCCATTCGAAAGTTCCATTTCATCTTCTGTCAAAGAACAATGAGTTATTAACTTAAATTGCTTCAACGAGAGATCAAATATAACAAAAAGTCATCCACAAAATTTGAATTTACCATTTCGTGCTTGCTTTTCTCGCTCCTTCAATATCTGTAGCTTCTTCTTCTCTCTTTTCCTTATTTTTCGCATCAGAACTTTCTCAGGCACAGACATCCTTACGTTATTTGCAAGCAAATGTAATTATTTACAATTCAAAAGTAAGCCTTAAGAATAAATGTTTCGTCCATGTGGTACAGTAATCTAACCTCAATACACAAAGTAACGAGGTGGAATTCATGAAAAATTGTATTCAAATAATGAAAACAAAAAATGTCGCCATCTGGTGGTACGAATGGGAAACATTTTAAATTCAAATCAATTTGAAAATAAATGTCCGCGGGAAGTTTCGAATTTTTCTGCGTTGGAATTACAGGGTAATTTTAAAGCAAAATTTTAAGTCGACTATTTATTGCATTCCTAAGGCAATTTTTTAATATGTTACATAGCTTAAATTAAAGTTGAAGCTGTCAGCTGACAAGTCAAAAAAATGTCAAACGCAAAAGAATAATTTGGATATTTATCATTTTAATTTGCAAATGAGTTTGATCCGCCTTATTTATTGCACATTTAAATCGAGATCATTCAGAAGCCTTGAGGAACAATTGAAGTGAAAGAAACATCAGATAATATTTCAGGTAGATAGGCGAATACCTCATCTCAGTCTTGTTGTGAACATCGCACAAGTTGTTCTTTGCGAGATATATTAAAATCTTTGTCTTATAAGTAAGCACTATATCAAGTTTTTATCCTACACAATTTTACTCACATATATTTTATAATTAATTCACAACGTATCATATTATACGAGAAATAAGTCGATTTACCATATAAAATGTTTTTGTTTCTTCAGTGTTTCAGTTTAAACAATGAAACTCTATTCCGTTTCCGATGAACTATCGTCTGTAGCATGTCGCCAAGCATTAAAAGCTTTAGATATTGACTATGAATTCGTGTCTATCAATTTGGTAAAGGCGGACACATGGCAGAGGAATACGTTATTAAAAGTCTATAACTTGAAAAGTAACACATAATAATAATTTCTGTAATGTTATTATTACAGCTAAATCCGCAAAAGGAAATACCTGTTTTGGTTGATGGTGATTTGGTAATGGGTGAAAGGTATTTTTAAAATATGTTGGTCCATTGATGTAGTAACCATATAAAATTTGAAGTAAATTTTGATATGTTATGCAATTTCTTTGTACATGTACATATCGGCAATATCTGAGTGATAAGTACGATACAGATGGTAAACTGTATCCAAAAGATGCAAAGACAAGAGCGATTGTCAATCATCGTTTGTGCTTCAATTTGGCCATGTATTATCGCAACATTTCTGAATACGTGGTACGTATCCAGTCTATAATAAGCTTAAATTAAAATAAATAAATAGACACTACTGTATAAAGAGTAGAGGTAACAATGGTTTAAAGATGGATAATTTCTCTGAAAATATTTAGTGATCATTTAATTTGACTTTGTTAGAAATATTATTGTTATTAAATGTTTTTTTACAGATAAATCTCATATTTTTTACAATTACAAAAGAGCTTTCTTGGGATTGAAGAAAATAACGATTGCTATAGACATTTTCAAAACATATCTGAAACGTGAAAATTCCAAATATGCTACAGGAAGTCAATTTGCTTAATTACAGAAATTTCGACATATTAATTATTATTTACAAGTGTACTATATATGAAAAATAATTATTCTTACAGACACATTGACTATCGCTGATTTCCCACTGATCACCGCCACTCTGTGTCTAGAAGCAATCGATTTCAAATTAAATCAATGGCCTCGTATACAAAAATGGTACAATAATTTCAAAATAAAACATCCAGAGTTATGGAAAATCGCTGAGTCAGGCATGGAAAAAATTTGAGAATGCGAAAAAAACCCACTAATCATGCTGCCTGATATGGATCATCCGATACACCCTGTTCGCAAAAACCAAGCTTTTTTAACCGCTCAAAACTCATGTCTTAAAAAAGTATGTATACACTTTGATACCGTAGTATACTTAAATCTTCATTTATATATTGAAGCATTGAAACTGTAACAATAAATAAAATAAAATATAAATAAAATATTGATGAACACTTTAAATAAAAAGTAAACATACATTATGTACCTTCATATTGTAGCATACATAATTTTTCATTCATGCACTCAAATGTTGAACTCTAACAGTAAATAAAAAACTAAATAAAATATATATGAATAAGAATAATAAGATAATAGAACAAGAACAACAATAAGAACAAGAGGATACTGATGATTATCAGTGATGTATTATTACCTTATTTTAATTACACTTTGAAATCGAATTCCAAAGTAGATCTCAACAAAGTCTGTCGCTGTTATCGCGATATCTCTATGTATATTTCTAAAAGAAAGAATGAACCGGTGTCGTCCCCACAGAGAGGGAACACATGGTTCATTCAACTCTTTCTTTGGAAATTATAAAAAAATTTGACAGTGTGTGCACGGGGGCACGATGAGCAGCGTTTGACACAGGTACACGATGAACGAAAATCGATTCTATGTGTGTAATTGACTCGCGAGATCGTTAAAAGTATACTTGGTGGTAGAAATACAGTGCCGCCATGTGAAGATGAACATTTTTTTTACATTCTACGATATGAGTAGTTTTAACAATTGAATCTAATAGCATAGAAAGATCGGTAGGCAGTTCCAAGCATTGACACTCGCACCTGAGATTTAAAACTGTACAAAAAAATTCTAGTAAGCACCTCTCGTATCCCAAACATTATTTCAAGCTTTCAAACGATGTTATACGATATATACGATGTTATATCGTATACTTTCATAATATATGAATCTTCTTCTCTGTATCAGAAGGAAAAGAAGATTAGTTCAACAACAAACAGATTATAGAAGAAATTCGAGGAAGAATACGAGGCGCACGGACTAAAAATAATGTAAGCTCAAAATCGTTTACAATATTCATAAAATAGTCTCGCATTTTTTAAAAGAAATCATATGAATGAAAACAGAATGATCGCGGAGTACATAATCGTCTCAAAAACGTTCGAGCTGATTTAATTCTAAAAAGAGAATTAGGAAAATCGTTCTCAAAAGGCATTTCTTAAACACACTAACATCCAAGTAAAAATAATACTGCATTTATTATATACGACTGTTGTTCTAATATCTGCAGTCTAAACGAGTTTTCCAGCAATCAGAAATGTAGAATTTATAAACATTTAAACAAACGGCCAGTCTTCATGTTCTCTATTTGAATAAAGACAATTGATTGTTCTGTTATCACGAACACCTTTGTTTCACTATTGATTTGGATACGGGAGGCTCTGTTGCATAAATTTGTTGAAATCGTAGGAAAATTTCTTCTACCAAGTATACAGGTCGGCAAAAACATGTCTGGATGTTACGCAATCAGAAAATTCGTAACTTAATTTCCTTATTAACGGTGACAATTGCGCTCGGTACAATTATATGCGTAATACAAGAATACTAGAAATAATTCTAACTTTTCAACTTATAGTTTAAATATTCACAGAAATATAACCTCGCTACCATTCAAAAGATTATCTATAATAATTATTGCATGTTACATATACGCGATAGATAGTGTCTTGAAGAGATTTCACATTCAACTTTTTCAGTAAGCCATGAATATCAACTGTAATTTAATTCGTAATTTGTAATAGAGTCTGGTACAGTTTCTTCTGACTTTGAATAATCATTAAAGGATTTCGTTCCATTGGAAAAATAGGAAAATTGGATACCGATTTTTACCACATAATTATAAACAATTCTCAAGACTCTATTATACGTGAAATTTTACAATATTTATATTGAAAGACACGCTATCCCTCAAAAATTATTCATTAATAATACAAAATAAGTTCAAATGGTAGTGTGTCTAGTCCGAAGTATGCTTAATAGCTAACCCTGCGTTACTATATAAATAAATAAATAAATAAGTACATTTAAGTAGATTGAATTGGTTCTGGGATTTGCCATACCTCAACGAGCAATGCAGAATTCATTGTAACAATCTGTCACGCTATATAGTTAATTAAAAACTATAAGTGTTAAAGTGTTGATATATTATTAAATGCTAAAGTAAAACGAATGATAGTAAAGATTCGAATTTTTACAACAATAGAGAATCTAGAAACAGGCACAAACCTGATTCTAAAGATATGTTTAACGTTAACAGGAGTAAAGGATATAATCTCTAGATCAGGCAATTTTTATTGTACAGTACGTAAAGTTTGAAAAGTCTGTAACAATCGTGTTAACACTTTGCCTATCAAATGTCTGTGCTACGATCTCTGGCAAGAAATAGTTTCAATCATACACAGTTTTTGCCAGGTATAGTAGAGCATGTTACTTTAAGTGTTGATCATAAACATTCAATACTAGACCTACTGTACATTTCGGATTTGTTATTTTATAATTACTGACTGAAATAGTGCCCCTCAATAAATGTTGTATTCTTAGAATAAAGAGTTTTAAAAAGGAGACTCTGTAACTGTTCGGGACTTGTATCGTTAAAAACATTATAATTATAGTCTAACAGTACAAGTACAAAGAGATCAAACTGACTAGGACTGATTGTATTACATAAATTAAGATTTCCATTCACTTGCAAAGTGGTCTGCACAAGGATGACTCAATCTACTGAATAAATTCTCATAGAAGCACATTTGCAAGATCAGAAATCTGAAACGGGAATTTTGAATTCCCTGGTAGTCTAGTATTAATAAAAGTTGAAAAACGAGTCGCTTTAATTGCTTGGTACTTGCGTGTCGTTAAAAATATAACAGCATCATTCTGTATCGTTAAGAATATTATTATAGTAAAGTGTTAACGCACGACAGGAGGAATCTGAAATACCGTCAACAGTGTTGCAAGTAAAGTGATCAGGTTTCCAGTGAATTATGCTGTGTGTCTGTGTCTAGAAGACATGAATCTATTGTAAAACGAATATGTGAAGTGACGCAATCAGATTTAGGATGATTCTACATTCATATTGACGTGATTTCTTGTTGGTTTTACTGATCTTCCGTAATTTCTTTTGGCATTTTCTGTGTTGCACCACGACTGTCTGCATAGTCCACCAGTCACTTAGTCACCTAACTCTTCCTGAGGGTGAACGAAGATGGGATTTTATGTAGCCGGTCCGATAATCGATCACGTCACGTTGGGTACCACCCGATACGCCGTGCCCATGTCTTCTACTCCATCTGCAATTAGATCTTAGGTCAATTATGCTACTCAAACGTTCCATTAGTGGAGTCTTGGCTGCATGCAGATAGTCACATTGCCTCACATTTTCAATGTTAGTCAAAGGAATTCCTTCTGAGATAGCCTCAGAAATTTCTGGACCACTTCTTAAAATATATACTTATCCCTTAACATTAAATGAAATTTTCTTTCGTGAGTTTGTCTCGTACACTTGCATTTAAAATAAATATAAAAACTGTGGAATCAGGCTTTGATTATTAATAATTAAATTGCCCATCCATTACCAGATTTACATGATAATCCAGAAATTGCTTAGACTGTTTTGAATTACAAATCGAACCGTACTCGAATCAAAAGAAAGCAATAAATTACTGCAGTTTGCTAAGATAACTTAGAAGTAGGAGAGTCAAATCAGTAAAATGTTGTATAGGATCTACGCGATTTTTTGGAGCTTTTCCACTGCTTTGATTCGAGTACAGCAACACGAATAATTTGACGAGACACAGAGCAGCATGACACTGGTCACAGTGCTTCATTCCAAGTACGAAATGTAGAATAAGTAATGGAAAATAATTGCTCGACACCCGAATAATTATGTATGTATAATAGGTATACGTAATAGGAGAATGCTAACGGACTTAATGATTAAACTACGAGTAAACAGACGGTTAAGTTACATCGTTAAACAATTTCTAAAGTCATTCCTTAAACGCAGGCATACTGTATACGTACTAGCGATAACAAATGCATAATTAATATATATATATATGTATGTATATATATTTCGTACAAAGGGTACTCGATTTTATTAAAATCGGAAACGCAAGGTAGCACTAAAAAATCAGCAATTCAATATTGGCGAATCTAAGACACAAGGGTAATATATCTACTAAGAATAATAAATTAAGTACAATATCAAAAGGCCTCCTTTAGCTCTATACCCTATTTCCGTCCCTCTTGTAAAAGCAATTCTGTTTTGTTGCGATCTTTCAATTCAGTTGATTGCTGCTGTACCGATATTTTTATTTTCCAGAATAATATTCATTAATTTTGACGATATTGTTCTTGCTTCTACAAGTATAATTGGGTACGATCTACTGTAGAAAATCAGAGTTAATTAGCCTGCTGACAATTCAGCATACTCTACCATCGATCAACGTTATATAGTTGTTTATTGGTCACAATGAACGTTACTATTATATACTTCTGTTATCGTTATCTGTATAAAACATAGAGATATTCAACCTAAAGTCAGTATTATCTCCACCATTACAAAATCTTCAAGCTAACACACGGATTAAATTGTACATCTATGGTACGAAAAACAAAAAAGTCGTTTCTTGGGGGAACTGACCTGTATATCTCGAAGACATTGAAAGAGTTGCGAATTCGTAGCAACATAATTACTCACTGAAGAACATTTAAAATGAAAAAGAACGCTTAAACACCTTTGTTAATCAGAGAAACAATTTCTTGGATCGTTCAAAACGAAATTTAAGCGTTCTCTTTCAGTCGAAAAGCATCGCTTTATCATTAATGCTGCAACAGGTTCAAAGAAAACAAGTTTTAGGGCTTCGATTATCACCGAAGTCATCAATAAGTGCTTGCACCGTTCGAAATTGCTGTTTCCGTGGATCAAAGTGAAAATCGGTCATTCGAAAGGAATCTATTTAGAACAATATTCATTTGCAGAAAGATCCTATAGCTATAATTTGCAAAACAAAAGTTTACCCTTCTCTTATAATCATTTTGTCCCAATGTCTAATGTATAGATATTCAATCTGTTATAATTTTGTAAATAGGAGTCGTACAGCCATGATAATTCGTTCCACAGCTTGTAGCTCCTACTTTCGTATCATTCATTTTCTTGTAATATATTTTGGAACTAGAATAGCTAGTTCATCTTGGTCCCAGTATTTTATGTAAACAGAATAAATTGGTAATTTTGGTCCCAACGTCTTTGATTGGCATAGAATAAATGTAAATTTCCTTTCTACACTAGAGAATCTCGTTAAAGAATTAAGAAACAAAAGGGAGCGATGCGATTTCTGTTTCGATCCCAAGAGTCAGCAATCTCCAGTGGTAAAGATCGGGATTCATCTGTGTACCGTACGCAGAGGTCGGCTTCTATCTTGTCCTAAATGTACACTCATACCTTGTTATTGTCTCTGTAGGCCAGAAAGGTGGGAACATTGATGACTTTTCGTCGTGATGAAGGTTGAGGTCGCGATTGGGGTCGATATCGGGGTCGAGGTCGAGGTTGAGGTCGTGGTCGTGAACGAAATGGAACTAGGGAGACGTCGAGGTTGGGGTTCGAAAACCGTGTTGTTCTGTTGGGACGAGTTATTGTGCCGGTGGGTTAGGTTCAAGGTGGTGATGGAGGTTGTCGTCGAGGTCGTGGACATCATCGGCATCGTCGTTGTGGTCGGTTGTTCACCTTGGCTCCCGTTACTCTGATTCCTGTTAATGTTGTTAATCGGTAGCAGCATTTGCCCGTCACCATGGGCCGACGAGACCCCGTAGCTTCTTAGCCGATATTGCCGTTGTTGCATCGAGGAACATCGGCTTCTAGCAACATTGCTCCTGTGCTGCTGGGTGCCCGTGGTACTGCATATGATCAACCCCAGGACTTTCATAAATATCACCGTGTTGTATCACCATGATGATCATTAGTGTGCCCACGTAAGGACCTGTCTCTCTGCGGCTTCCTTTTTCTCTCTCTTATTTTCTGCGGCGTCGCGTCGTGAGGCGTTATTGCTTGCCGGATTGATAATTAGCAATTGACATCTCTAACCGTGCTCGTTATCAGCCCGTTAATTAAACAACGCGCCTGTTTCTCTTATTATTCTTGCCCACACGTTTCTCTCTGCCTCGACACGTGTTTCTTCGTTTTTTCCCCGGGTTCTTCGATAGTTAGGGTACAACTACGAAGGGCCTGACGATTCCTCGTGAAGAAACCGAAAGGAAATGTGGAATGCTGTTTTATCATACAAGGCTCCGTTTTTTTGGAAATTAATTTTTAAAGTTACAATGTTGGGCGAGCTAATATTGCGAGACAAGGCGATCTTTGAGAATTTTTTGGGAGGAAAGTGTTGAAGATACGGATTTCAAACCTTGAGGCTTTGTGAATGGATATCTTGCGAATGTACTGTATTTTTTTCAAGTTGAAATTTTGATTCGTTGCAGAATTATAGCCTGTGTATGAACAAATTCGATTTCATATCCCTCAATCCAGTTTCCACAAAAAATAACATCCCCTTCGGTTGTACCACGACTATCCAAAAGTACATGTATTCGTAAATACATCTATCTTCGTTTAAACAATAATTACTTTAAGAACGATTGGAAGAACGGTTTGAACTAATTTTTAAAAATTCGTGGTGGAAATATCGAATGCCCTAATCTTAAACGAAAATGATTGATTACCGTCGTAAATTCGTGGCACACCTATTTATAAATTTAAATCAAAATCTGTGTGTGTGTGTGTGTGTGTGCGAAAGCAAGAAAAGTCATGCTCGTTTTAATCAGCACGAATCAAAGCCAACACGTTTGGTTTCGTTGTGTATCCGCGCAGACACAGAATTGACACAGCAAAGTAGAAATCCATGCAACTTTTTCACACTTTCTCGTTTGTTGTTCGTAAAAAATTCATCCGTAACAATATCCGGAAATTTTCTTAAAATTTTAATCAGAACTATCTGAAACATGAGGCATAGAAACGCTTTAAAAGGCTTTTCCAATTATAAATTTCAATGAGAAAGTTTTAGTTTGAATGAAACTTATAAAGCATAAAAATAAAAATTATTCCGTAACAGTAACTTAACACTATTTAATGAATAGTAATTCCTCCCCATAAAAATTGCACAGACATTTTTGGAAACACATAAGTGAAGCAATTACTGTAGCATGGCTGTTTTTGATAAATAAGGAAAGTCGATGAATTTTTTACGCGACCAACAAGAGGATGGCGATGTATTCTCTTACCTCGAACTGTGACTCATGAGGACTATGTTTCTGTAACAGCATATAATGCATCCTGATTGTTGGGAAGCGAGTGATGGAGTGTTGACGTCGATCCACACACAACACAATAAGCAGCTCAAGCAATTTTGTTATTCTCCCGTTTATTTCAATGGTTTTTGGGCACAGAGACAACTATAACTGTGATACCGTCTGAATTTCGTGTTAAACTTCGATAGGTTTTGGGCTAACAAAATGATAAAAGAAATTTCAGTAGTTAAAAAGATATTGAGTATCAGTCTTGAACTCGAGAATGCTGCCAATAGTTTGTTCAGGATGTTTTAATCGGTGTGGATTCATCAATTTAGTGGATGCACTGAACTGTGATTATGTTTAAGAACGATCTCGTGAACTTTTCACTGTTTGCTCGTTAGTATAGGGACACCTGTTTTTGGTACCTTAATATTTCTAAACAGGAATGTACATTACTACTTGTTTAATTGCCTCCTTAAGTATAAGAAACCCTTCTAATAACATAACAAAAAGTTTGTTTAAAATCGTATATTTCAACAAAATTTTGTTTCATCTATTAAACTGATACACAACAATGAATTGTATATGTAAGTTAATTTTTATAAAATAGAATTTAAACAATGTTCACTGAATTATTTAATATCTCACGTTGGGTGTTTGGAATGGCTGATCATGAACGATTGGAAGAGTATGTAAATATCGTTGATATTAATCAAATGTGAACTTGTTCTTATACTAAACTCATTAAGATAAGTTGCCTAGATTCTCGTTTATAGTTTAATTTCTTTCGTGATCCTAATAACATGTAGTTTAATTAGCTTAGACTCATAAAGACCTACATAGTAGAACTTTTCAATGTGTTTTCGCTATCTTTTTCTTTTCAATTCGAATTATTCAGTATTCATTTAGCTATACTTTAAACTTCTTGCATATTCCAGGCATCCTGTAAAACAACATGAATGCTGGTGTTTTATTTTAGCGACCTAGAGGAACACACACGAAGTATCACTAAATGCCAAACAAAATTTCTACAGTCTGCTTTGAACATCTTCTATGCAACAAAAACAGAAAAACTTCAAATAAACTGCGACAAATTGGGTTGTCACCTTTTCCTAATCAATATTAATTATTTGACAAAAACAAGATCGCGAAAGTTCCCTAAAAAAATAGCCTCATAAAAATGATATCAGAAAATTAGAAAAGTGACAACCACAAGTCACAATAATCTTTATCATACTTCAAAGCGAAAAGCAACCCCTCCTATTATCCTGATTCTTCAACTTTTTTTTATCGACCTAAACGCGTTGCCTTTTTGTCAAGACATAGTTTAGAAGAGAAGGCAATATTTTTTTAAAAATATTTTCTAAATAGTGTTAGTTTACGTTAAATCCTAATTGTAATCTTAGAAACTACCATAAGTGTTTTTATCTTTCTTTATGTACAATGACAGCATGATTAAAAATAATCTCATTTAAGTAGAACATTTTTCAATTCATATTACAGACTTTTATGCAACTTTAAAAAGCTTTAAAGAAGTTATAGTTAATGATATGTACAGGTATTAGGATTTATATATGTACATTTATGGAGAATCTTGTGTATCAAGCATATACTACATCGGTGAGCTACACAGTAGTTCTAATTTAGTGCAAAACAAGATAAACAGTAGTTCAGTAATCTTGCAAAAGTAGAGAGAAGAAAATATAAATATAATAGATTCGTGTGAATATAATATTGTGCAGCATCTAAAAGTATGAGTCTTCTAACTTACGGAGAGAGAACAATAAGAAAAATTGTAATGTCTCAAAGATAAAATATGGAAGAGATTGACATTAAAATTTGTTTAATATAAAATATTTCCCTTTCGCTTAGAAATAAATTCAAATTGCAAACATTTGACTGCCAAGATACCATATTTCATCTTTTCTAATCTAAGCTGGAAGTTGGAAAATCTCTCGATATTGATTTCTGAGATAGTCTTAGAATTTTAAGTGCAATGCAGATGTCCCAGTGTATTCATCCTGGATACCCACCCTTTATGTAGATATATGTACACGCATACATTTAAAACCGTCCATCCGATATCTCTTTTATTCGTAGAAACTGGATATTATACTCTGAATATATTGTATAATGTACTATATTGTTATGAGAACATTCTCTAATGTATTAAGTTTTGTCTTAAAAATATATATATATTAACATACTGATATACTGTCTGATAAAATGGATCAATGAATTGTTATGTTCTCAATTTCTATGCGAGATAAAAGAGACTGCTGTTTTAAATGTAAGTTCATGTGTAATTGTGCGCTCGCGTGCGTATGATGCGATTACACGTCGCATGTATTATACGTAGTCAGAGGTAAAACATTAGCAAACTTACTACGAAACTAAAGACTAAGAAAGAAATTAATTTAAAGTTAGAAAACATACCATAAATGATATTTGCAAAGTGTATTCAAAGAACATACCGAAGTAATCTGGTTATATAATCGGGCCAATTGTCCGGAAACATCACAAGGAAGAAGCCAACTGCTATGAAAATCATCCCTGCTAGTTTCATACCCACAAAATGGGCTCCATATAAAACAACATCTAGCGCTATAACATAGAGACACTAGTCAATTATTGTTTCTTATTAGTAACTAAATTATTTTGATTAGTTTACACACCAGCAGACACAGGTACAGCTGTGATTAATCCCAGAGTGATAAACAGATCATATGTCAGAGCAATACTGAAGTTGCCAAGCATATTTGCAACTGAAATAATAAAAGTATCAGTATAACTTGCAAAAATTTATCTGGCTCACTGCAAATGTATGTTGTAGGTATTCAAACAAATTGTTTAAAGATGTACCTAAATGGAGAATGCTAGCTAGAAGTAATGCTGTCCATGGTAACCGTTCCCAATGCACACTCTCGACCCCCGTAAAGTACAGAGCCAAACAAATTGGCCATAACAGCATCGCATTGCACAATCCGATAAGTGAAAAGAACAGAGACATTTGTCCGAATGTCGTTTCTCCTAGAACTTTTTTGAACAGCACCTAATTGATCATCATTTAAAAATTTTGAAATAAATTGTGCAATCACATTACAGTTACAACGCTGTTATATCAATGTCAACATGATGCTGATAGCTACCTTATAAACAGCAGAACCAGCTGCTGCGGACGTTGCTAGAACAACACCTCCTAAGGTTGGACTTCCGGTTATTCCATCCATGTACGCAAAAAGTGCAATCCCAGTGTTGCACAAAATTACTGCTACTATCTGCAACGTGTTTAGAACATATTAAATACAAAAGTAATCATTTTTTGTGCAACAGACTTTTGTAGTAAATGATACCAACCCTTACACCAACGAATTGTTCGTGAAGAATAACCCATGATAACAAATAAACGCAGGACACGTTTGTCGCGAAAAGAGCCATCACATCGGTAGCTAACAATATTCTGAGCGAGTAAATGTACATGTAATTGGTAACCACCCAAAGTCCACAGAATAAGCTACATCTACTCAAGAAACGTCCGCCGGTGAACCCTTTGTCACGAAATCCACGCAAATTTTCTGCGATGATCTCGGATGGAGTGTTGCATTTGATTCTCGCCGCTTGGCAAATGAAGTAAATGGGGTAATAGAGGATTTCCCAGTTCGTGCAGAACCATGTTGTGAAGAAGGGTGCGTTGTATGGAACCGTCTGAAATAATAAAATGTATCAGAAACAGTTTAATCAGAAGAAGAGAAGGACGAACGAACATACATGCTGCTGATGTAGCCCCGTCACTGATGAGTTCGAAGATAATAAATAGCTGGAACTGTCAAGTTTGTTGAAATATAAATATTTAATACAATGTGTCGCACCGACCCAGCTTGCTGTGACGCATATGGTTACACACACTCCAAAATATATCTGCAATCATAATACCATGATGAGTAACTGTAATAGTTTAGATTAATGTTAGATTAATAATTGATAAACCTTTTTTGCGGACTCAGCGCAACAGGAAGCGTAGCAAGCTGAGAGAGAATTAGATCTTTGTTGATACGTAACAGAAGGTGCAGACATATGCTGTTGGACTTGTATTTGACTGATATGCCCCTGGCTGCCACCAGTTCCTTCGGCGATTCCTCCACTTCCGGTTGTCTCCAAAGTACGACAACTTGGTGCAGAATCGCCGCAACCACTGCTGACGCTGCATCCTTGTTGCTGTTCACATCCTAAATAATGAAAACAATTAGTCAAAACTATATCCGAGGAGTGTTACGGATTAACAAACAGTTCAGAAACATCTTGAGTAAAATTACTTTGTGGCACGCCTCGTTTGTCAATCGGAAATCATATAAAAGAAACAAATAATCGACATCTTTAGTTTCAAAGAATGAACGTTGAAAAGGCGCACGTAATGCATTATCTATGTTTACAAACGTTACACTCGGCTTGCTGAAAATATTAATGCTGTTAGATCGACGACAACAAGTCACTTTTTGTTTTACACAGAAACTGTACAAGGTTTTGGTATTAGATTGATAATAAACGACACGCAAGCGATGAGATATATACAGAAACTTACGCAGGCAATTGCGGAACTGTGGATGCAAATGTAGATCAACGAACGTGGCGAGAATGTTCTACAATATCCAACAACGAAATCGCAACTGGGAAGGACGGAAAGTCTTTTATTTCAGCTACTATATTCATTACTCTACTGCGAATGATCTACGACCCATAGACATGTCAAAGCATAATATTATACTATCCAATGGCATCAATGAACTGTGGATGCGAATACGGAATTCTACACACATTCACAACAAACAAGTCAATAAAGAGCAATGGCCAAAGTTAAAGGACCCCCGAGATGTAGATGAGAAATTGTCAATATTTAGTTTGTTATAACTTAAGTAATTAAATTTTATGAGTTAGAACAGATTGAACGTTGACAATGTTTCACCCGATCCTTCGATTTTGATTGCTAGACTATAATAAAAGCGATAGTATTATACAACGTATTATACAGTATATTACAATAATAGAAAATAAAAGTAGTTCGCAGAATGAGATTTAATTGTATGAACACTGTCATTTGACATTAAGTCCTGGCGAGCATGGGCGGTCTGCGATACGCTCGATCATAGGTAAAGGCAAAACTGCTGACACTTGTCATCACCAGCGCTAAAATTGATAGCGAAAGATTATAAAAGAGAGAATACAGCGTCATATGCTTAGTATAATTACTTGTATAACTGCGGTTAACAATACAGTGAGGTGTTATTATCAGCAAGACCACCTGATTATCCAGAGTCAGAATATCGATCTATAGCAATTTCTGCAATTGGAATTTCAACAACGAATCTGCCTCGCTGCATTGTTACTTCCAAGCATATACCTGAATACACAAACGGGCTCACTTTATAATAGACCCACTCTGAAAATGGAATCGAGTGATGGGAGATAAGAAACGTGCGCCTTTCCATTTCCTACATCCACGGGCTTTTCTTCTTCAATGTTAATGCTGTTACAGACAAGTGTACATATATAGTAGAAGTGCATAAGAAGAAACTGTGCTCGTTCAGTCTTTTGTGTGGTGATCCTCTTCTGTGTGCTTTGTATAATGGGACCTAATCTTGGAAGAAGGAATGATGGAGAAGTGATAAGTACCTTGTGTATGGCAGTGACCTATCCGTAAAATACTCGTGATTTAATTATTTAAAAAATATTAATTATAAAATGAATAAATGCTAAAATATTGTTTTGATCAAAAGGTGTGTATTCAGCGTTCAAATAATTCAAATTGTTGGTATAATTTAGCATAGGGTTTAAGTACTTATTATCACATGCTTACCAGGATTATCATGAGTAACTTGGCCGCTTTGGGGACCATGGTTCTGCTGATTGTCACCAAGAATGATATTTGAAGTATGAGTTTGTTGAGGATGAAATATTGTTGGAATGTCTCCGACTCCTCTGCTACCCATGCTTAAGTTTGTTCTTTAAAAGATGTGGTTACATTTTTTTTCAGTAAACTTGAACAAATGTATAGCTTAGCTCTATTTTACACTGTGCAAACAAGTTTATAATATGGAAGATATGTGCATCAATATAAAGTATTGATAATGAATTCCATAATACGAACAGAGACAATTTTTTAAATATAAAATACCATAAAAATAAATTCAAGAACCTAAGAGTTTAGCCTAATGAAAATGAAATGATCTTTGTGAGTCACCTAGGCTTGTATTTTTAAGGGGCATTGAAGCGATTAATATACCTAATATATTTTGAAAATCAGAAATAATTATATAATACTGCATTATCTACAGGATAATGAAATTATTACACCAAGTACAGAGTGTCTGAATAAATAAGGCAGATATTTAAGGGGCTCCTAATTTAGCTGAGACACCCTGTATTTCTAATAAATATCAATCGTTCAACTCTGCAACTAGATTAGCTTTTACATATAAGCAACAGCATTCACCTCAGTAAAATCAGACTATTCTGAGAATAGGAGTGGATCTTCTTTCCATTGCTTCTGGCAATTCTCCATCATACATTTTCTTTTAAACACCATATTCTAATTTATAAATGATTAGAATATAGCCATTCATATCATTTCATATAGTAAATAAAAAATGTCCATGGGCATAGGTATCAAAAAATGCAGTTCCTATATCCACAACTACTCAATCCTGTTCTCAGAGTGGCCAATTTCTAAGTATATCCTTTAGACATTGTGTTTACAGTTTACAACATTTTCTTTTACTGAACTATAGTTGCAACAGTAAAATGAATGACAAATACACCTGAAAAATAGACATACAACATTTTCAAATGTTTTGCTTCTATGGTAAGTGTACTGGTCTGTAGACACCTGCCATGACAACAATTCTCGTCAACGATCAACGTGAAAGTTCTAATTGTATATTTTACGAAGTAAGCAAATTAAGAAACTAATTGAATAAGAATATGATTTGTTGAAGTTGTGTACCTTGACTTACCTTCCTTACATCTTTCGTCGAAGGTTACGACATGCTTCAAATTCGGTGTATTCATTGTTAACTGTTTACCAAGTTTTGCATCACATGCACTGTCATAGCAATTTTATTGTCGTTTTATTTCTATACTCGATCGTTTACCGCTCCATCAGTTCTGCAAATTCAATTGCTTCAAAATTCGTCGAGTTAGTAAAATATAAAGCAATAATTGTCAGCGTAATATTTCTGCGCCACTGTTAACACAAATTACCACTTTTGAAACAAACACGGTAGAGCATCGACTCTACGTGTATCAACGACAATTCATTTGAACAGTTCAGTTGTACTACAGAAAAATGAAAATACTACATCGTGTCACGAGTCTCATTGTTCTGTGAAAAATTGATCACGAACACATTAGAATTCTTAACTAATTCCCTGTGATTTAACGTGTAACATGTTTCTCCATTGATTATAATTACCACTAAACTTCATACTATGTACATACCACTCAGGGGCCGTCAACTCTATAAGGAAAAGTGGGGGCATTTTTTTGACTGCCATCTGAGCTGCTGCAGATTTGGATGAACTAAAATACAATATGGCTGCCCATCCCTATGCGCATTTGGTGTTTGGTGGACAGTTTGAATTACTGCCATATTGAATTTTAGTTCGTCCAAGTCTGCAGCTAGCTTAGATGGCAGTCAACACAGTACCCTAAAAATTTACTAAGAGTCGAACCCCCTTGTTACCATCTTTTAGAACGTTCTAGTTGCGACTGCGCCCTATTTGTTTTCCACCTGTTTCATTATATTCCAATATGTAAATTTATATTTAAATAACCCGAATACATGCCTAAAAATACCGCAATTACATATTTAAAAATATTCAGAGCTCCCTTCCTTCATCGCTTGTATCTTCTACCCGTTTTATCTTCGAAATTTTCAAATATTCTTCCGTGGAAACTACACAAAAATCAAATTTTCAAAATGGAGAGGAATATTTGAAGAGTAACGTTCAAATACTTAACATTTTTTCAATTGAACTGGTAATATTTCCTTTTTTCCTTATATTGGCCGTCGATTAACAGGCATAAAATGTTGCGCAAGTAAAATAGATGAAAGTGGAGATAAATCTATTACATAAGTTTAAGATGTTAGTGTACTTCAAATACACGCCAATTAGCATCGAATACTGTAATAAATTATTTACTTTCTTTCACTGTTTCGAAAATGGAATTATTTTTATATTGCAACGATGATATTATGATTAAAACAATTTATCTGAAAATATCAACTA